CTATCGTGTGCGATGACGGCAAGTAGGTATGATTTGACGCTGATGACCCTTTGAAAGACATAGATCACTTATTTTTGGCAGTTATAAGGTTGTAACATATGTTTGCTGTGAGTAATGAGATGGTTCAGATTGAGTACAAATCAGATGCGAAAGTTGGCGAATATCAGTTGGTCAGAGCAAAGAGACCTGCGGAGGATAAGGTTTGAAGCGGTCTCCTGTTTACAGTAAATTTATTATACCTCTGCCTCTTGCCTTAGGCCTTCGAAAACCCTGACGAGACAATGCGGGAGCTCGAATTGCAAATCAAAAAGGAAATGCTCATAGCTGAACTGTTGAAAACGCGGCGGAAACTGACAAAGGAGGAGCAGGAAATTTTAGATGAAGAAATTCCTTTGAAGAAATGATGTGACCATTTTTCCTTTCTAACACAACTCAGGGCATTTCTGGTCAGCTGTTATCCATAGGAATTAGTAGGAATACGAACTCTCAAAAAAATCGTTTTTGGGTTATGATGTTGTTTCAGCTTTTATGCTTTGAACTGCAATACAAGAATTTAAAAAAAAATTGCTGGTTGTGTTCGTCTCTGACAGCTTATTTTACTGCAAAAATTGGAGCTCTTAAAAGAAGGTCCTTAGTGGATCTTCTAAGTTAGCGGACTTCTCTCATTTCAGCGGGCTAGGCGCACAGCATAGTTACTGACAATGTCACATCCTGCAGAAGACGAATTTGACTACATCGCTCAGGACGCGTTTCATAGCTCTAGGAAACCTTGGCGGCATAGTCCACCGCCATATGTGGAGGACCCCTAAATAAGCCATCGCTTAATTAGAAGCTCTACTTGGATGGTCTGAAGATCAAATTCAAAAGCGGGCTTCAGGGCACATGGAAATTTCGAAAATTTGATAATTTTAATGAAGGATGGATTTATGACAACTCTAGATACACTGAGATCCAATTTATCATTTTTTCTTCAGCCAGGGTTGAGCGTGGGATCAGGCGTGTCCGACCTGGGAGCGTCATAATCAAGAATTGAATTTGCTCAAAATCGAAATACTACGATCGAGCAAGTTGAAGAAGAAAAGCGCTGGACCGATGATTATCACGACTCCACCACAAAGAAAATGACTGTTGTGAACAGCATACTGATTGAATCGAAGTTACATCCAAATTTGACTACTAAGATCACCAAAGAAATTTGCTGTGTAATTTGAGTATGTTTTCTTAGTCATATAAAGAAGAACAGTTCAAT